TGACTTCAACCAGGTCACGATCTCACGGTCCGTGAGTTCGAGCCCCGCGTCGGGCTCTGGGCTGATGGCTCAGAGCCTGGAGCCTGTTTCCGATTCTGTGTCTCCCTCTCTCTCTGCCCCTCGCCCGTTCATGCTCTGTCTCTCTCTGTCCCAAAAATAAATAAACGTTGAAAAAAAAAATTTTTTAAAAAAATAAAAAAAAGAACATATTCCTTTTCTCTCCAGAGACTGAGCTTTAGAGAGTGAGAACCAGACAGGGGGAAGTCCCTTTTTTCCTCTTCGTTCAGAAGCAGAGGTTCGTTTTTGTAGAGCTCAAGATGTGGAAGCCTCCAAGTTGCAGGCCATGCTGCCCAGTGGCTGGGGAGCACGAACAGCTGAAAAGCTGCTCTGACTTAGCATGGGTCCCGCTTGCCCTAATTCACTTGTTGCCGGGAAAGCGTAGAAAAGTTATAATTCCTGCCCACAAGAGGCCTTGTGATGGAACTTATTTATCACCCTGCTGGTTCTCTCTGGATCAGGACAAGGTATAAATCAATAACCGTATATCACCTCTGGGCTTTAAAGTGCTGTTTCCTTTGCTGGCAAAGCAACAGGGGCGAGGTTGACCTGACAGCCTTACCTCCCCTTCACTGCTGTCCTTAGGGTTGTCCCCAGTCCTGACCCCTCAGCCAACCACAGACCACTTTGCTTCCTCCTTCAGCGGGAAAATCCAGCAGATGCGACACTCAGATGCCAGCCTTTTCCAAGCATACACACATGTACCCCTGCCTCTTAGTCTGTGTTTGCATGTGGAAGGAGTCATTGTCCGTGCACGCTTCCCCTTCTGCCTCTGCCTTTGTTCCCTGCTCTCCCATCCCCTTCAAGACTTGCCTCATCGCTTATCACCTAATCTCCTGGTTTCTGCAAAATTACTCCCTTTTACAGGCTCCTTTTCTTTTAAACATGCTGAGTTACTCACATCCTAAAGTATGTTTCCTTTGGTTCAAGATCTGTCTTTTCTAGCCTTCCTCAGGTTTCTCTTTGGTCCTGGTGATTATTCCCTTCTCTACGAACTCTGTTCCTTTGGCTTCCATGGCAACATGAATTTCCAGGTTCTCCTGCCACCTCCCTTTCTCCTTTGTGGGCTCCTCAGTCTCCTGTCCCCACCCTAATCCCTAACTGGAGGTGCTTCCCAGGAGTCTGCTGTCACCCTTGGCTCCCAGTCCACTTACCCTCAGGGCTTCAGATGCTGTCTCTGTGTGGGTGGCTCCCCAGTGTCCCTCTGGTGCTCTCTTTCCTAAGAGCTTCAGAACCCCTCGCTCTGGCCCCTGGGGGACGTCTGCCAGTGTCTCTCTCCTACCCCACGTTCAGGGTATGCAGACATCAACTCCCCATCCTCCTTTATGCCTCCTTTTCCCCTGTTTGCTCTCAGGAACCAGAGCACCACTGGCAACTCCGGCACCTTGGCTGAAACCGTGGGAGTCCTCCCCCTGACTGCTCTCTCTGTTTCATTCTCCACATCCGATCAGGCTCTAGTTTTGCTGGTCTTCACTTTTCTGGATATTTCTTGACTATGTTCCCTTTGTCTGCACCATCACTGTGAGTCTTTGAAGAGCCAGATGCAGAGTTGCTCTAGAGTTAGTGCTCAGTACATGCTGAATGACTGGGAAAGAAATGATCTCATTCCTGCCTCTTTATTTTTTTATTATTTTTTTTAAAAATTTTTTTTTTTCAACGTTTATTTATTTTTGGGACAGAGAGAGACAGAGCATGAACGGGGGAGGGGCAGAGAGAGAGGGAGACACAGAATCGGAAACAGGCTCCAGGCTCTGAGCCATCAGCCCAGAGCCCGACGCGGGGCTCGAACTCCCGGACCGCGAGATCGTGACCTGGCTGAAGTCGGACGCTTAACCGACTGTGCCACCCAGGCGCCCCAATTCCTGCCTCTTTAAAGGCAGTGGTTAGATTCGGAGCAGAATTTAATCTCTTTGGTGCTGGTGTGGCATATGGGATGTAGGAGGCCATGCCAGCCCTAGGGTTGGGGTGGAGAGGCATGGAGGAAGGAATTGACAGGGAATTTGGCCAGTGGGGTCCTTTGAAACCATCAGTAAACTAGTACTGAAGTATGACTTAGCAGGAGTGGGTGCTACTATTTTGATAGCTCGTTAAGTTTTGAGTAATGGAGACCAGTTCAGATCTGCATAGGCCAAAAAAGAAAAAGACATTTAATCTAAAGATAAAAGGAGTGTTTCTCAGAATCTACTGGCAGGAATGGGGCTAGGTCTCAGGAGCTAGAAACCTTCAGACCCTTTTCTTTCATTTTCCTTCTGTACATCTCTTATTAGGTAGACCACTGGTCTTTGGTCCACTTGGCAGATGCAAGTCCCCGGTGTTCATGAGCGTGTGTGTTGCAGGGCCAGCCACCTCCAGGACGTGACTCTGTGAGCTGGCTGATTGGCTCAGCTGGTCTACTCCTAATCAAACTGTAGCCAGTGTGGGCTTGGGGCTTACAGGATCCGGAATACAAATATAGCCGCCAGGAGCCCACTTCTGTGCATCTGAGGATGGAGGGCAGGTCCCAGAGGAGGGGGTAGTCACTGAGAGCTGGGAAGAGCCTTTAGAACGGTTTTCCAAAGATGCAAATGACTACTTTAGGGACGCCAGCTGTAGCCCACGGGATCTGTGGCCATTTAACAGCTATGTCCATCCTGTTTATCTCTCTGGTATGTCGATTTCAGAATTTGCTCATTCCCAAATAAGGAATTCCTTTGAAATAGTACCATGCCTTCTGTACTCCTGCATCCGGGACAATCTACACCTGCTTGTGTACTTTTCTGCAACAGTATTTTGACGTTAGACTCTGACTTTGTGTGGGGCTGCCCGGCTGGGTTTTCATAGAGGCTTTCTTACTGCAGTGATGAGAAGCAGCGTGGCCTGCAGTTGAATCTTTTAACTGACTTTATCTCTGTCATACCCAGGCTCAAAGCTGAAGGAGATCTTTGACAAGATCCACAACCTGCTCTCCGGAAAACCAGTTCAGTCTGGCGGGCGCTCTGTGTCCGTCACACTTAACCCACAGGGCCTGGATTTTGTCCAGTACAAGCTGGCAGAGAAGTTTGTGGTGAGAAACTTTGTAACCAGAGGTATGGGGATGGGCCTGTGTGCAGCCCTTCTGCTTCTCTCCAGAGTAACCAAGGGGTCCCGTCTCTGCTCCCGCAGAAACAAGGAGAGGAGGAGGTGGCCTCTCACCACGAAGCGGCATTCCCCATTGCGGTTGTGGCGTCTGGGATCTGGGAGCTCCACCCCAGAGTGGGCGACCTCATTCTTGCACATCTCCACAGGAAGTGTCCCTACTCAGTTCCCTTCTACCCACCTTTCAAGGAGGGAATGGCTTTGGAAGACTACCAGAGGTGAGGTAGTTTTTCTCCTCACTCACTCTCCCCGGGGTCTGAATAAAATACAGAGAGAACTGGGGTTTGCTCTCCCTCCCTTCACAACTCCTCATATGTACCTTGACTTTCTGTCAGAGAATCCAGTGTCTTTCATGCAAACTCGCTGCTTTGGGAATTTGTGGATTCAGCTGCAATAGTCAATATAGTTTAAGGAAAAGAATATTGGATCTAGAATTAGGGGGCGGGAGGGGTCTTAGAATTTGGCCCTGCTTCATCATTTAATACATTTGCAAAGTGGGGCAGTCATGTAAGCTCTTTGAGCATCATTTTACATATTTGCAAACGGGGGTCATAACATCCATCAATCCTGTGAGTTTGGGGCTCCTGGCTGGCTCCTTCAGGAGAGTGTGCAACTCTTGATCTTGGGGCTGTGAACTCGAGCCCCACATTGGTGCAGACAATGCTTAAAAACAGAATGTTAAAAAAAAATTTGTGAGTTTACCTCACAAGGCTTATGTGATGATGCACAGATGTGATTGTGGATGTGTGTGCTTTGCAAACAAAGTTGTCTGCAGAGGTAATGATATGTAATCATATAAGAAGAATAATGCTAAAAATGGGTGCCTGGCTGCCTCAGTGGGTAGAGGCTGCGACTCTTGATCTCGGGGTTGTGATTTCCAGCCCCACATTGGGCCCTAGGGCTTACTTAAAAAAAATAATAATATAAGGGGCACCTGGGTGGTTCAGTTGGTTGAGTGTCCAACTCTTTTTAAAAAATTTTTTTTAATGTTTATTTTTGAGAGAGAGAGAGCATGAGGCTTCAGGCTCTGAGCTGTCAGCACAGAGCCCGATGTTGGGCTCGAACCCATGAGCTGTGAGATGACCTGAGCCCAAGTCAGATGCTTAACCCACTGAGTCACCCAGGCGCCCCCAAAATTAACCGTCTCTTAATTTCGGTTCAGGTCGTGATCTTGTAGCTTGTGGGATTGAGCCCTGTGTCAGGTTTTGTGCTGACAGCATGGAGCCTAGTTGGGATTCTCTCTCCCTCTCTCTCTGCCCCTCCCTACCCTCAAAATAAATAAATATTTAAAGTAACAATACTAATAATAATGCTAAATGTAATAGTACTAGATTGTTTCTTTGAGCCATAAAAAATAAGTGATTTGTCACCCTCACTTTGGCCTTGTCACATTGAATTTTTTCTTCCCACACAGGACGCTTGGCTACCAAGTGAAGGACTCCAAAGTGGAACAGCAGGACAACTTTCTAAAGCGCATGTCTGGGATGATCCGACTCTACGCCGCCATCATCCAGCTCCGGTGGCCGTATGGAGGCCGACAACAGGTGGTAGAAAAGACTTGCTCTCAAGAGAAAGGCCAGACTATATTCGTGTATTCTGTCCACAGGGACTGTTGCCCTTCTTGCCAAGCGGGCAGTCTGGTTACATGATGATGTATTGTCGCTCCCTAGGTATGTTCTAGAGAAGTTGATGTTAACTATTAGGAAGTTTTGGACTATCAGAACCTTTTGTTCAGTGATTGAGTCAGCTGAGGCTTTAAAGAACTGAGTTTATAAGAGGGTCTGTGAGATGAGAGTCTGTTGTAAACCATTCATTAAGGTTCTATAGAAGATTCTATTAGATGGAGTAAGTCTAAATGACAGTGTCAGGGCACCTGGGTGCCTCAGTCGGTTGAGTGTCTGACTCTTGATTTCAGCTCGGGTTGTGATCCACGGGTTGTGAGATCGAGCCCCACGTTTGGCTCCACGCTCAGTGCAGAGTCTGCTCCAGATTCTCTCTCTGTCTCTGTCCCTCTTCCCCACTCGTGCTGTCTCTCAAAATAAAAATAAAAATGACACAGTGTCATTTTATTATTTATTTATTTCTAAGTAAGCTTTAGGCCCAACGTGGGGCTTGAACTCACAACCCTGAGATCAAGAGTTGCTCGCTCTGGGGCACCTGGGTGGCTCAGTTGGTTAAACCTCTGACTTCAGCTCTGGTCATGATCTCATGGTTCATGAGTTCAAGCCCATTTCAGGCTCTGTGCTGACAGCTCGGAGCCTGGAGCCTGCTTCCGATTCTGTGTCTCCCTCTCTGCCCCTCTCCGTCCCCTGTTCACGCTCTGTCTCTCTCAAAAATAAACACTTTTTTAAAAGTCATATTTATTTTAAATAATCTTTACATCCAATGTGGGGCTCAAACTCACGACCCTGAGATCAAGAGTCACATGCTCTTCTGACGAGCCAGCCAGGCCCCCCCAAAAGTAAATAAACAAACAAACAAACAAAAAAAGGGTCGCTCGCTCTACCGACTGAGTCAGCCAGGCGCCCCGTCACTGTCATTTTAGACCTGGTTGGTGCCTCACATCACAGATGAGCAGATGGAGTCCCAGCGAGCTATAGTGACATAGTCAGTGACAAAGCCACGGCTGGGGTGCAGGTCTTTGACTTGCCAGCCTAGTGCTTTTCTCAAAGGATACAGATTAGAGATGGAGAAGTTAATGTACTCAGAGACCTAAGAGAAGGGAATGTAAGTTGATTGAATCCAAGTTTTTATTGTGTACCTGCTGTGTCCCACGTTCTGTGCTAAAGGTCCCAAGAATAATAAATAAAACATCTGTATGGATAACTGTTGGTCAGCGGACTCCCTGAAACCAGAACTGTCAGATGTGGACTGAAGGGATCCTGTAGGCAATGTGTGGGTTCCGGTGTGTTGGGACATTTGAAAACAGAATTTGTTCGGCGTGTGCTGTGTCTGCCCTGCGGCCTATGCTTGATTGAGATGATCTGGGGGTTCATGTCACTTAGAAATGGCTGGATGATAACCTTGGGAGTTTAGATCTCCGGATACAAGGAGAGCAAATCATGACCAAGTGTCTTCGCTCCCAGATTCACCCTCACGGCTTAAATCATGGCTGGCGCTGGTTGGCACAAATCTTAAATATGGAGCCCCTGTCAGATGTGACAGCCACTCTCCTCTTTGACTTCTTGGAGGTATGTAATGCAGTTATCACACGAGAGGGGGGACAGTGGTTGAAGCAGCCTTGTGCCACTGCGTGGCGTGAATCGGGAAGCAGTATGTAAATAGACTATCGGTGAACAGCATTAGGATCCAGTCGTACACATTTTTTCCCAAGTGCTAAAGACAAACCTGGCTTTTGGGTTTTCTTCCCACTGTGTGTTCCTTCTCTGTGTGGTTGTGTTCTCACTGTAAAGAAAAAACTATACATCCCAGCACCAGCAAAAAGGGATGTTCGTTTCAAGGATAGAGAAGTGACTCCCAGAACCAAGGGTAGGATGTATGATTGACTCTCATGTGGGCCTGGAACTAGGAACTAGAATGTCACCAGGTACCAAGAGTCCTTTTGGGGCCACACGGTCCTTCTTGTGCTCTTTCCGTAGGCTGCTCATTCTTGCTCCTTAGGCCAGTTTTCTCTAGATCTCTGCACGGTGGAGAAGGTGGCCATCCTGGGCTATAGCCCTCTGCCTCAGTGCGGTCACCTAGTGTAATGGAACTGGCGGCTCACTTTTGTAATCCCTCATTCCCAGGAGAGCAAATATGATCAACTAGACTTGGCCACATATCTCCTTCATCCAGAAGGTTCTATACGGTCCTGTCTGCCTATGAAGGGCCACCACTGTAGAGTGAGGGTAAGGGTTTCTGTGGACAGGAGACATTTCTTAAAGGATAAAGGCTTAGGGCACATACCATAACAGATGTGGGCCATCCGGCCTATAATGCCAAATGCTTCCAGTCACCCTGGAGCTTCTGAAGTCACAGGACGTGAGCAGAGACCATGAATAAATTTGAGAACATGGTGGTGCCCTGCTTACTAAGGTTGGGAGGAACACCGCACCTTTGGAAAGGTTTCCATTCAGTAGACTCAAAGAAGAACAATTAAGTTAGACTCACATTCTCTGGTTTGTGAAAATACCTGGTTTCTTGGCTGTCTTATTTCACGGAGGTTTTGTCCTATACAGACAAATGCTTCAGAAGAAGGTTGGGTCTTTCCATTTGTTCCCTTGCTTAGCTAGCTAAGTGGCATTGTGACTGAAACTCTTGGTAGGAGGGAAAGGCAAAGGGCTGGTGTGCTTTATGGGTCTTTGGGTCTCTTGGGTGAGTGTGAATTTGCCTTCTCTTCTCTGATGGTGCCTGTCTTCCCCTGGAGGTGTGTGGGAATGCCCTCATGAAGCAGTACCAGGTACAGTTCTGGAAGATGATACTTCTCATCAAAGAGGACTACTTCCCCAGGTATGTGACCTGTTGAACAGACACCACGGGATTCAGTGAGTAAAACCCATGGTGTCGAATACCCTTGGGTGCCTCTGGGTTTGACTCTGTTAAAAACAGTTGTATTGGGGCGCCTGGGTGGCTCAGTCAGTTGAGCATCGGACTTCGGCTCAGGTCATGATCTCACAGCCCAGCTCGTGAGCTCGAGCCCCACGTCAGGCTCTGTGCTGACAGCTCAGAGCCTGGAGCCTGCTTCAGATTCTGTGTCCCTCACTCTCTGCCCCTCCCCCTCTCTCACTCTGTGTCTGTCTCTCAAAAAAAAAAAAAAGACCATTGTATTAAGTGTGACATCTTCTCCTATCCTTCTTTTTGATATTTGAGTAAGTGCTTTTGAACTCTAGTGAGAGTTTCTTAAACATTATTGGCTAAATGAAAAAATGAATTAGGAAGATTCTGGATTCAGATACCTGACATGTCTTTAACTCTGTTTTCCAAACTCCCCCCAGCTAATCAGGGATGGTGATTACATGTGGTCATGAATTAAACCCAAAGAGTCAAGCTCCCTTAATCAGTTGGAGAAACTGATCTGTCGGCCAGTTTGCTTGACTGTCATGGCGTCCGCCTCTGGGTGCCCTTCTCATTCCTCTCAACACTGGCATTTCGGGGGGGGGAGAGACCTTGGCAGCATCTATCCTGTCTGCTCACAGAGATCTTGGAAAGGAACATCCTCTCCTTTATCCCCTGGTTTGAAAAGAAGGCTGAGACCATTTGGAAGAATGACCGCATCCTTGGTCCAAAAGACCTCTGCCCAAGTCGTTTGATCTCCCCCTTCTCCTGCTTCCCGTAGATCGGCAGTGCCCCTAACTCCTCTAAAAGGGACAGGGCAATCATAGCTGTCACTTGCATATTGTCTTCCTCTTCCTGCAGGATTGAAGCCATCACAAGCTCAGGACAGATGGGTTCCTTCATACGCCTCAAGCAGTTCTTAGAGGTAAGAGGTCCTTAGATCAACATGTTTCGAGCTGTTGTTGACCTTGAAGGCGCCTGTCTCTGACAAGTCCTGGACCTCTATGCTCTCGGATTACAGTCTCTTCCTATTTTTTTTGAACCCTACTTTTTTGTCCAGGATTCCCCTTAACCTTAAGGGTTGCTGTTTCATCATCCTAGATGTCACTGTCCCTACTGCCTGTGGGGAAGCTATCCTAAGGGATGAATAAAATATCCTTAATGAATCTGGTCTCACTGATACATGTTTTTGTTTTGCGGGATTTTTTTAGTTTATTTATTTATTTTTGAGAGAGAGAGCATGAGCACAGAAGTGGCAGAGATAGAGGGAGAGAGAATCCTAAGCAGGCTCCATGCTGTCAGAGCCTGCCGTGGGGCTCAAACCCACAGAACCGCGAGATCATGACCTTGCTTAACTGACTGAGCCACCCAGGCGCCCCTCGCTGATACATGTTTTACAGGCTGGCCTGTAAAACATCCTGGTTCCTCTCCCAATGTCTGGCCAGGGGAACTGGGAAATTTGGTCACTTTTTCTCTATGACAAGAGACTGCACTTTCAGCCAGACTCCTCCCCTGTTTCTCAGTGCTGAAACCCTCTTTAAAGAGGTTAAGTATGACAGACACCATAGAAGCCTCTGGTGGGTCTGCCAAGACAGCCCACTGACTTCCACTTTCCAGTAGCCCGAGTGGGCAAACGGGGGTCATGAAGGACAAGGCCGGGCGCTGGGAAATGAGGCGGGGGCAGCATGACCAGCAGCATTCCCCTTGTCCTCTGCTGCAGTTCATACAGAAGCAGAAGTCTTCTGCACCGCCATTGGTCTTTTCCCGGTGTTGACCACTGTCCCGTGGGACTTAAGCTTGCTGTCTCTCAAAGCTTCCAGCTGGTAATTGTGGGAAGGCACGTTACCAGAAAATCATTGTTTTCTCCATCTTTCCCTGACCAGAAATGTTTGCAGCGCAAGGAGATTCCTGTCCCCAAGGGCTTTCTGACCTCTTCCTTCTGGCGTTCCTGATGGCACCCCGGCGCCCACCATCTCTGTTCTGTTGCAGAGGGACAATAATAAAGCAACTGAAAACAGCTGCATTTGGGAGAAGTCATATCAGATTTAGAAATCTACCAACCTGTGCTTTTATATATTTGTACCCATGACTAGGAGAGGAGATCGTTCAGGGGTCCCAGAATCTAGGAGGTCTCTCGTAGGTTGGACAGTCCTTAAGGGATCCACATGACAGAGTAAATGGAATCGGCTTTTCTCACTTCTACAAATATGGTGAGGTGTTTAGTTCTTGGTCTCCTCCTTCATTTCCTTTGTCTCTGCTGTCTTTCAGAAAGTAGGTGGTACCTTAACCATTTCCCTCTGAGCTGAAGTAAGCCCCCCACGCCTACTCCCCCGCCCTGCTGCCCCTCCCCAGAGTACAGGTTAATAGTTGAGGCCCAAATGCTTACATGAAAGTCTGGGCTATGGTGGTTTTGTTTTCTCAGCTTGTGGAGTAATCGTAAATTCAGAGGAAATGCCTGATGCAGACGTGGATTAAGCCCCAAATTGTATCAGAGATAGTTTAGCATCTGGGATTAGGACTGTTGATACATGTTATATTGAACAGGAAGCACTGTTTGTCCTTTTAATTGGGACTTTGCCCCCTGAAGGACTAGGGGTGCAGGAGCCAGAGCAGGTATGGGGTTTTGTTTGTTTGTTTGTTTATTTGTTTGTTTCTGTATTTGAATTAAGTTGAGCTGAGATGGGTTTGCAACACTATACAAGAGCCAAGCATCTACAGGCAATGATTCAGGGGTTAAATGAAGGTGTTCGGGAGGAACTGAGAACTGCTTTATAATTGTTTACATGTCCTGAATGAAGAATGATGATAGATTTGCCTGAATAAAGCCACGACAGAAATTCAGAACCCGGCTGTTCAGATAAGAATTGAGATTTGTTTTACAAAAAACTCACTGTCTTTTGTAGTGCAGAGGCAGGGATATACCCCTCTGTACCACCTGTTGTGTGTGGGGATGTGTTTTGGGGAGTGGGGGTATTCCCTGGTACTCCTGAGTGGCTTGAAGTAACACACTCTATGAATTGTTGACTATGGTGCCAAAAAATAAGTAATAAAGCTTGATTTTAAAAAACCCACTGCTGGTTGATGTGACCAATTTCCTTTGCCCTGAGCTGTGTACATAGCTGTGTACATGGTCAGGCACAGGCCTAGCTATAGAATGGTATATGTTCCTCCCTATTTTGTCTTCTTGACCTTCACCTAGGAAGGTTTTTCTTTCTGTCATTCCTTTTCCAGAATTATGTACCTGACCTTGTTTCATCTAGCAGAAATGGAAAAGTACTGAAGTCTTTTCATCTGGATACAACAGAATGAACTCTGGGGAAGGTGTCAGAAGACTTGGTGAATTCACTTTTGGGTTTTGTGCCCTTGGGTGGGTCATTCTCTGAACCTCAGGATCACCACCCCTGCAAAAACACACGACGGGGATTAGTCATGAGATGAGCAGTTTTCAGTGCTCTGTAGCTTCCCAGCCAGTGTGTCGGCACAGGTCTCCGCCTGTGGGGCCTGAGGTGGGCGGAGCCCCCAAGGCCAGTTGTTATTTGCACTTGCCCTCTTACCTGTGCTTTACAGATGGCATTATTGTCTATGTATCATGACAGGAAACAGGTCAGGGATCACTGACCTAGTGTTGAGTGGACAGGGCCCGGCCCTATAGTCAAGGTCAACATAGGGAGGCTTTGTGCAGATTTTAAATTTTTTTTTTTTAACGTTTATTTATTTTTGAGACAGAGACAGAGCATGAACGGGGGAGGGGCAGAGAAAGAGGGAGACACAGAACCAGAAGCAGGCTCCAGGCTCTGAGCCATCAGCCCAGAGCCCGACACGGGGCTCGAACTCACGAACCGTGAGATCGTGACCTGAGCTGAAGTCGGACGCTTAACCGACTGAGCCACCCAGGCGCCCCATGTGCAGATTTTAAAAAGGCATCCCTTCCTTCAAGATGCTACTGCCATCTGCTGGAATAGAACCACGAATCCGTGGTAGCCCAAGGTGCAGGGGGCCTGGAGAGTCTGCACGGCTTTATGTGGAGCCCTAAGAGAATCCCGTGATCCTCTGTACCACAGCATTTTGGCTATATGTGAGCTATATTGCAGTCCTAGGTACGATCATATACGGGAAAGCTCCAAAAGTGAAAGGTGAAAAATCACCGGACAAAATGATCGCTGAGGGCCGTTCCACTTTGAAATTTTTTTTAATGTTTATTTATTTTTGAGAGAGAGCACGAGGAGGGGAGGGGCAGAGAGAGAGGGAGACACAGAATCCGAAGCAGGTGCCAGGCTCCCAGCCGTCAGTACAGAGCCCGACGCGGGGCCCAAACCCATGAACCATGAGATCAGGACTTGAGCCGAAGTCGGACGCTTAACTAACTGAGCCACGCAGAAGCCCCAGGCTGTTTCACTATGAATCCACTAGTCCACAGAAAACACCTCTCCTGTTATTTGAATGTTCTTTCTCCAGACATGTTTAACAGTCCTGCACATGTCACTTGATGCTTGGAATTCCTGATAGGTTCTCGATGGTAAACCAAGAAAGGAGAGCATTAGGGAAGCCAGGTTTTTGATACTCTGATAGTGTTGCCTTCAGAGATACTGATTGCCAGCTGATAGATGCAACCCCTGGTGGCCAGTAGCATCAGATTCCTCTGAGTGGAATACTAAGGCCTGCCTCCAGTTTTTAAATTCAAGTACTCACTTGCCTGCTTGCTTCCTTTTAAGCTTGACCTCATTTCTCAGGCTGACTGCCCATATTTTTGTTGTATCATTGTCCTACGTCATTTTTAATGTTTATTTGTTTTTGAGAGAGAGAGAGAGAGCACGAGCCAGGGAGGGACAGAGAGAGAGGGAGACACAGAATCCGAAGCAGGCTCCAGGCTTCAAGTTGTCAGCACAGAGCCTGACGCGGGGCTCGAACCCGTGAACCTCGAGATCGTGACCTGAGCCGAAGTCAGACTCAACCAACTGAGCCACCTGAGTGCCCCATGTCCCTACATCATTTTAAAACAAATTTGATGATGAGTTGAAAATTCCAACAGGAGAGAACGCCTGCACATCCCTTGGATAGAAGAATGGAATTGTTCTGGAGAGTTCCTTCCCCTACTCTTCAAGCGTCCTGCAATGAAAGCGGTGACCTAACTAGGTTTGGGTGTCTTCTGTCTTAGTGCTAGGACAGCCAAGGGAGCCGCAGAGCTTCATACAGTGTCTCAACAGGCCTGGCCTCTCACATCCCGTTTTTTTTTGTTTTTTGTTTTTAAATGTTTATTCATTTTTGAGAGGGTGTGAGTGGGGGAGGGGCAGAGAGAGAGAGAGGGAGACACACAATCTGAAGCAGGCTCCAGGCTCTGAGCTGTCAGCGCAGAGCCCGACATGGGGCTCGAACTTGTGAATCAGCCAGATCATGACCTGAGCCAAGTCAGACACTTACTTGACTGAGCCACCAAGGCACCCCTAGGCCCCATTTAAAAAAAATAGCATTTATACAGATGACATATTCAAGAAACATTTTTCTTGTAGCTTCTTCAGGATGCTTAACACTAAATGTAGTACGTGATCCTGAATTGGAACCTGTAACAGAAAAAAAAATCTTTGTGTGTGGTCTTATAAAGGACACTTGGTCAATTGGCAAAACTTAAATAGGTCTTACTTTTTTTTTTTAATGTTTAGTTGTTGGGGGAGGAGCAGAAGAGCCAAAGCAGGCTCCGTGTTGACAGCAGAGAGCCCGATACAGGGCTTGAACTCATGAACCGTGAGATCGTGACCTGAGCTGAAGCCGGACACTTAACTGACTGAGCCACCCAGGCACCCAAAACTTGAATAAGGTCTATGAGTTAGGCAGTAGTATTATGTCAAGATCAATTTCCCGATTTTGATCATTATACTGTGGTCATAAAAATGAATATCCTTGGGGCACCTGGGTGGCTTAGTCTGTCGAGTGTCCGGCTTCGGCTCAGGTCACAATCTCAGGGTTTGTGAGTTCAAGCTGCATCGGGCTCTCTGCTGTCAGTGCAGAGCCTGCTTTGGATCCACTCTGCCCCTTCCCCACTCACACTGTCCCAAAAATAAATAAACATTAAAAAAAAAAATCCCTGTTTTTAAGAAATACTCATGAAGTATTTGGGAGTAAGTAAATGTGTCTGCAACTTATTCTCAAACAGTTCAGGTAGACAATATATGTCTACTGTGTATGTAAGTATACACGTACATAGAATAATAAAGCAAATGTGTCCAAATGTTAACAAATGGGGGGGAATCTGTGTGAAAGGTATATGGGATTTCCTTCTATTTTTGTAACTTTTCTGTAAACTTGGAATTATTTCAAAAATAAAAAAGCTGGGCGCCTGAGCGGCTCAGTCAATTAAGCATCCAACTCTTGATTTAAGCTCAGGTCATGATCTCACGGTTCTGAATTCTAGCCCCAAGTCAGTGTCTGCATCGCGGAGCCTGCTTGGGATTCTCTCTCCCTTTTTCTCTGCCCTTCCCCCACTCATGCTTGATCGCGCACACTTTCTCTCTCTCAAAATAAACAAACTTTAAATTTTTTGAAAAGGTAAAAGGTGAACCTCCCCCTCCCCCCCAAAACTCCAAACAAACAAAAGTCATGGGTACAGTTCTGATGAAGTGACAAAGTCAAGCTCTAGAACCTACAATCCTGAGAACAGGGCTGTGGTGATGGTTACCTTGAAGCCAGCATCTCATAAGCAGGGTGAAAAGTTGAATGAATAGATTTTGCAAAATGCTTCCTACTTAAAGTGAAATAGGTGACTTGGTAGAATTTTTTTTTTTTAATGTTTATTTTTGAGAGAGCATGAGTAGGGGAGGGGCAGAGAGAGAGACACACAGAATCCAAAGCAAGCTCCAGGCTCTGAGCTGTCAGCACAGACCCGGCGTGAGGCTTGAGCTCACAAACTGCGAGATCATGACCTGAGCCAAAGTCAGAAGCTTAACCAACTGAGCCAGCC